TGCAAGCTACGTATTGCTGAGAAAATGTCCTGACTGGGCACTCTTGAACTGGATGTCATATGTCCATAGGCAGTTTACCAGAAGCTGAAGAAGTATGATTCTTGGATTGGAGGGTATAAATTGGCCATTAAATAACATTATTATCATCAAAAAGAATATATTAAACCGAATTATACTGAGAAAACTGTTCTGGACTGGGTCCTCTTGAACTAGATGGCACATGTCAATCAGCAGTTTACCAGAAGCTTAAGAAGTATGATTCTCGAATATAGGGTATAAATCTATTATTAAATAACATATTATCATCAAAAGAATATATTAAAACCGAATTATCCTGAGAAAACTGTCCTGGACTGGGTCCTCTTGAACTGGATGGCACATGTCCATCAGCAGTTTACCAGAAGGTGAAGAAGTATGATTCTTGGATTGAGGGTATAAATTCATTATAAATAACATATATCATCAAAAGAATATATTAAAAACCGAATTATACTGGAGAAAAACTGTCCTGACTGGGTCCTCTTGAACTACTGATGGCACATGTCCATCAGCAGTTTAATACTAGAAGCTGAAGAAGTATGATTCTTGATTGGAGGGTATAAATTCATTATTAAATAACATTATTATCAAAAAGAATATATTAAAATCGAATTATACTGAGAAAAATGTCCTGGACTAGGTCCTCTTGAACTGGATGGCACATGTCCATCAGCAGTTTAATACCAGAAGCTGAAGAAGTATGATTCTTTGATTGAGGGTATAAATTCATTATTAAATAACATTATTATCATCAAAAGAATATATTAAAACCGAATTATACTGAGAAAACTGTTCTGACTGGGTCCTTTGAACTGATGGCATATGTCCATCAGCAGTTTACCAGAAGGTGAAGAAGTATGATTCTTTGATTGGAGGGTATAAATTCATTATTAAATAACATTATTATCATCAAAAGAATATATTAAAACCGAATTCTAACGAGAAAACTCGTCCTGGACTGGGTCTTTTTGAACTGGATGGCCTTTATCCATCAGCAGCATCAGAAGCCGAAGAAATATGATTCTTGGATTGGAGGGTATAGATTCATTATTAAATAAACATTATCATCATCAAAAAGAATATATTAAAAAACCGAATTATATTGAGAAAACTGTTCTGACTGGGGCCTCTTGAACTGGATGGCATTTGTCCATCAGCAGATTGGAGGGTATAATATCTCTAATTATTAAATAACATTATTATTATCATCAAAAAGAATATACTAAAAACCGAATTTTAATTTTCGACGAAAATTTTCCTTTGGTGTTTTTTGTTTGAATGGAGTCTAACTAGTCTCCCAAACCGCCCTTTGTGATACTAGCTCTTGTCAAAGCCCTGAGACTGTATGACGAGTTATAAGTTAAATAACTGAAGAAAAGGTCAAACACAATAGTCAAAAAATTCCTCACATAATTAATGAACATCCCCTTATCTATGATTTTAACTGAAAATAATGAACTGATCAACTCAATCTTTCTCACCTGAGACCGTACTTATGTACTGGTAAATTTTGCTAAATTTACCTTCATACTGTAGGCTGCTCTGTTCCCTCAAATATTGAGGCAAGGCGTTGGGCGAATCCGGAGGGGTATTGAATCCGATCTGACCTCTGTTCTCCAAGCCGGATCCGGATTCACTCTCGTCTGAATCCTGTGGATTCTCCGCTTCAAGTTCGCGTTGCCTTTGCAGTTCTTGCTCACCTCGCTCTACTTCGTGGATACCTGTTTAATCACGTTTAAATTGTGACGCTTTACTGTAAAGTTCGAAATTTTCCCTAGATCTGGGGAATATTTTTAGACCTGGCAACTATGCGATATTTTCCGTTAATGTCCACCAACAGCGGATTTTTGCTGCGTTGATAAATTTGATAGATATAGAAACCATTAATACTTTTTTATCAAGAAATAGCTGAAATTGCGACGCTCAAAAATCCTATTAACTGCCAAATTTTCACTAGATTTAGGGAAAATTTCTTAGACCTGGCAACTACGGTAGATCGCCTGTATATGTGTATGTCATTTTATAAGAAATAAATTGACATTTTAGGCTGAAAAAAAACATATTCCCTAGATATACCAAGATTTATCTAGATCTAAACCAAACTTTCTAGACCTGGCAACAATGTGTTATTAGACCTGAACGTCCACTTATAGTGGATTTTTACTGCCTTGACAAATTTAATAGATATAGGAACCATTGTTTTTTATCAAGATTTTAACTGAAATAGATAGAATCATAGATCCTGTAAACATCAAAATTTTCACTATATTTAGGGAAATTTTGCGACACTTGGCAACTATGCTGCTTTTTAATTTTGCTGCGTTGACGATTCTAATAAAATATGGGAACCACTAAATTTTTTTATCAAGATAAACATTAAAATCTTTAAATCTAGGGAAAATTTACTAGACCTAGAAACCGTGCGTTATTAGACGTAAATGCCTCGACTTGCTGCGTTGACAAATTTCATATGAACATAAACCATTCAAAATTATAACTGATATATTATGTGTAAATTATTTTGCAAACATTTCTTTTAGTAAAAACAAATAAACTCTTTGTGACAATTATTGTCGTCATTGTAAACGTCATCTGTCAAAACTGTCGCTTCTCGAGCGGAAATGACTCTATTATTTACGATAATACATACCAAGCAACAGACTGTAGTCCATCAGATGTAATCTGGTTAGGAAATCGACATCGGCTGTCAATGTTTCCATCAGTTTAGACCTGGCCTCTTCCCCTATATAGACCTGTCAAATGTCAACGTCAATTTTATTGTTTTTGTTATTTTTTTTATATTCACCTTCATTTGCTCATTAACAAAATCATTGTCTTTCAATGTGGGTAAGTCTTTCTCTCTTTCTTTTTCTGAAGCTTCTCTGTCGACAGTGGAGCCTACAAAAATAAAATACAATAATCAAAATACAGGGGAGAAAAAAAAGAAGAAAATTTTTACCTTTCAAATCGAATTTTCTGTGAATCCCTAAGTGATTGGAAAAAACGTTACGCATGACAACAATGTAGTGTTCCCCGTTGTCAACCGTCAGCCTGTACATGCCTAGATACTGTGGCAACAATGTTTTGCCATGTCTTTCAACGATATACTATTATAGAAATAAAATATAATATGAAATTTATAATAATTATATTTTACGGGGTGTTAATAAATAACTGCCTTTGTTGAAGTATTTTAAGCAAAAAGTTCATATAAACACTTATTCTAAAGTGCTTAGTTTTCGAGATACAGGGTGCCAAATTTTTGAAAAAAATGTTTATTTTAAATATCTTCAAAGTGGTTCCAGATATTTTTATGAAATTTCGTAAAGTTTTTTCACCATTAAAGAGCACGTTTCGATAAAGAAAACATTTCTGAAATTTCCACCAGTGTCGTTCGTGAGGGGTACCGACCAGATATTTTTAAAGAAAAAAATGGTACGCCACTGGTTTTTCGTAAAATAAAAATTATTTTTAGAATCTCCGTTCATTTTAGAACAAATTATATCTCTTAGTATTTTTCTGTCAGACGTGCCGTTTTTGCGTTAAAAAATAAAAACCATTTTAATACACGGCAAAATTTTTACCTTAAAAATACGTAAAAAATCACCCTGTGAAATATCGGACGCTTATTCAGACACACCCTGTATATTGTAGAGTTTCTTACCGGGTGATAATGCTTTAGGAAGCTGTGCATTCGTTCCACTTCTTCCGATGTAAGAGTTTTTATAATAAAAATTTTGTCGTAGCTTTGGTAGAATTTTGCCCCACTTTTGCCAGCTGAATCGTCGGGCAGTGGTTGGGACCTAATACAAAAAAATTAGAGTAAAAAACTAGAAAAAATAATTAATATATACAGGGTGACGCCTCTCATACAACGCGGAAGCTCCAAGGAGAACGACAGTTTGTATTGAAATGAAATTTTTGGAAGCATATGTAGGTTAACTTAAAGATGTTTTTTTTAAATATAGAGACTTCTACAGGGTGTCCTCAAAAAAAATTAGCCTATTAAAAGAAGGGAAGCATCATTCCACTTATAGCTAATTTTATAGCTAATTTTTGCCACACAATTATAGGTTTACATATCTAGTTGTAATTCTGCAATAAATAAAATGTTTAAATACTGAAATACTGTTAAATATTTTTTTCTGTCTCTTAATTTTTGTTAAATTAACGAAAAGTGCATCACAGCCACCTAGATTTTATCAAATAATAAAGATCTACTGACACTAAGTAATAAAAATTAAAATATCTAGGAAAATCTTTGTCTGGGGTGTAGACAACCTTAATAGTATTTTGAAGAGGTATGCATTCTCCATTGAATAACGAAATAATATACCGGGCCTTCTATTTAAAATAACAAAGTAACTTGCTTTTAAATGTTACCAATGTTCAATATTCATTTTGTCTCACCCTGTATAATATTTCGAGTAAGATTTTAATTCGGTTTAACGTACAATGGTTATTTTAAGTAAACATCAGGCTATACAGGGTAATTTCCAATTTTGGTAGCTATTATTGAAATTTAAAATTTATTAATTTTTTCACAAAATGTCAAACCTTTATTTTATGTCTAGAATGCGAAAATCGATTAATATAAGGGTGTTCCATAAGAAAAAACACAACTTTGATGTGTAACTTTTTTTGGGGACACCCTATAGAACTCTGTATATTTTTAAAAGATGCCCTAAATTAACCTGTACAAGCCCACAAAATCGCATTTCAATAAAAACTGTCATTCTTCTTGGAGGCTCTGTGTTGTATGAGAAGCTGTACTCAGAAGTCTATTTTTAAATTTAAAAATTGATAATAACACTTAACTATCTGACTCATAACTTTATCAGTTATATTTATAGATTAAACATTTTAATAACTGATAAAAATTGCTCATGTACTTGGTTGGTTTATGTAAACATGATTTACACACATACAGGATACATTAAATGCTATAAATATTTTTTATATTAAATTATTTACCTTGTTAGTGATTCTTTATAATCCAGATCATCTATGCCAAACCTTTCTCGGATATTCCGAAATACCATAGGGCAGTATTCTTTTACTTTGAAGTGTGACGGTAGATTCTCCCTAGAAATTCAGATTTATTGTTATATTAAGTTTGAAATACAGATAGATACAGTATCAAACTCATAATAAAAAAAACTAGAAAAAATAGTGTATATTACTTACTTATTGAATAGGTGGTTGTCAATCTTTATTTTAGAATACGCTCTGAAATCGTCTGGCAGAAGCATCACCGGAATTGTAACATGCATTAGTTCATTAATCTGAAAAAAATATACATCTATAGTTATAAATTCCTATACCTATAAGCCAGGGTGATGTTTGTTTACAACTATTAACATGAATAACAACACTGTGCACACTTACTGTATGGTTGATACCCCACATAAAAACACTCAGGAACGGTTCGTTGGCTCTGAACAACTTAACTTTCTGGTGTTTCACTCGAAAATGTTTCTTTTTAAGCTTGGACTGACCGCTGGAACTCATGTTGTTGACACTTTATTTTTTTGCGACACAATTTAAAAAAGAACTGGTGAAGTTCTCGATGTTATGCCATCGTAATAACGTGGGAGCTTACTGTAACAATTTACATTTTACAGATGTTTAGTCACTGCTGTTTAAGTCTGTTGATAATGCACAAATAATCGGAAATTATTAAAAATTTGCTGACAATTTACGGAAACACACCTTCATTGATTAGGTTTCGGCTGTCACCAGCTGTCATCGACCGGTTCCGAAGATGAACGACCATTTGCAAAACAAGAAATCATATTATTCATTTTGATATGATTGTTTTAAAATGTTTGCTTCAAATACTACCTATTTACCATAAAACACTTAGAAAAAGGTTACTAAATGTGGAAAAAACATTACAAAATACTAAATCCTATGTTTTTTTACTCAAAACCTGTTTTTTAGAGACCTAAATTATTTAATATATGATCTACATGACCTTGAGCGTAGATTTGTTTGGAAATCCATAGAGAGATTTCCGTAGTTGTCAAAGTCAAAATAGAACGTTAACCACACTTTATTTTTCACTTTCCCCATTGGAATTTCAAAATTTTCCGTGAAAATTCAGTAAAACTAAGAAAATGGTATTATCTGAGGGAGTAAAGCAACGTCTGTCTATTGTAATTGAGTTTGGAAAGACGGTTTTTCATTATGCCTTCATCCCTACAGTTCTGTATTTAGGTAGGTAAATTTTACAGGCCTGTTATCAGTTTTGTAACCAAAACATATTATATTCTTTTAGGTTTTAAAAAGGGAGCTGACCCCGGTATGCCCGAGATATCCGTAACAAAGTAAGTATTTTACTTAATTCAATTACTGACTTGTTAACATTTTGCATTACCTTGCAGCTTGCTATGGTGAAGAATACGAAAACGAATAAGTTAGGAACCTCATTAGTATGAAGAGAAGAGAGCCAGACCTTTGTATTTTACGTTATTATTTAATGCAATAACCTTTATTTATAAAAATATACAACATTTAACACTTACATCAGAGATTTCTTCAGTTATTTTACACCTTAAGAGTTCCTACCTAAACAAACATAAAATAAATGAGTCCTACGTGTAATTATATGGATGGTTGACTAGAGTATATGTAACAATACAAAAATTTAATACACAACCTTAATATTACTTGATAAAATCTTTGGAAAAATTCACTAAAAAATATTAAACAAGTATGATCTTAAGTGCATGTTGTAACCTCATCGAATTGTTGTTCTAGCTTGCTGTATGTCTTGTATTTGTTCTTTAACCTTTTCATATAAAGACAAGCCGCAATAATTATCGTTAATATAACTAATAACACTGCAGCCCTAAAAAAATATACGTAATAACAAGGAAATTTATATAATTGTAATAAATTGCTTCAGTATCTTACCCATAGTACCAAACGTCTACAGTTTTTCTACAACATTTATTCTCACCACAACAAAACTCTGTATTTTCGTTGCAAGTTCCAAATGCACAATAATCAGCAAGTGTCTGAAAGAAAATGGAAACATCAAAGAGATTAGCTAAACACATTATAAACTTACGTCTCTTGTCAGCATTGTAATTATTGAGAACACAGTAATACAAGAAATATGTAAAGGATTCATTAAACTTGATAATTTTCCTCTAAAAAAAGCTTTTGTAAACAGCTGTAAAGTATTGAACCAAAATTTCTCAAATGACAGCAAAATATAACCTAAAAATCGTTTACTTTTGGCATTTTAAGAATATTTAAAAAAAAATAGACAAAATTAAAGGATATTTGGATATAATTAACACTTGTCTATATATTAATTATTCATAATCAAAAAATTAACGTATGGTATCAATAAAAATACAGTATCTAAATAAATTACTCTATTATTATAATAGAATATACAAATAAAAAGGAATATATATGTTGAAAAATGCTGGATTTATTATAGAAAGTACAGATTTTCATTTCTTCTTCTTGCCTTTGTTACTATCTTTGGAGTTTGAGTCAATATCTCTAGCCGGTTGCCATTTTAGTGGTTTCTTTCGGTACATGGGCCAGGGAGGTATTGTCAGCTAAAATTATACCCTTAAGTAATACTTATCACAATATAATTACAATAAATATTTACAATGCTGGTTAGTAGAAAGCCAGCTGCAAGTATATAAACGGTTTGGGAGAACTGCTGAATAATGTATCCCCAAACGAGACCAACCAAACCGAATACAGTTATAATGATTCTGGACAGTTTTTCGGCCCTGTGCTGTCCTTCGAAGTCCTAAAACAATAACGTGATATAGTAAAAACAAGCAGGGTAACATGGTATTTCAGTTCTGAGAGAAAAACAAGGAATATTCTAGGCATAGTAGGTATTAACGTTGGTTGCTGTAGGTTTGTATTTACCATATGGAGTGGAATGGTTTTGAAGAAGTCCATTGTCTTATTTATTAGTGAATAGAAAACGTAGAAGTTAAAATAAACTATAAAGAACTTGAAGAAATATGGTAATTTTTAAAAATGTTATGACGTGTATTTGTCTATGGTTAGGTCCACGTTAGGACGAATAACTGTCAATTGCAATTAGGAATGTTCACTGTAGTTTGTTTCAACTACTACCAAAAATCGATATGCAATTAGTGTGAATTCGATAGTGTAGAAAATTAAATAAATATCTTGTAATTATTCAAAGAATAATATATACAAGTTCAGATATAATATACCTGTATTTTTTTATATTATTATGTATTTAAAGATATATGAACACTTTCTTGAGATCCTCGATAGGCAATGCGGGTTTATTGCGATTTATTTTTTTTCTTGACAACCTTTCGTTCTACGAGAAAAACTCAAGAGATCAATTTTGTTAAGGAAATATTGAGAATCAAGAAAAAATACTTTTTTCAAAAAAAAAACTGCAGAGTACCATTAAATTTCATAAAATAATTCTGGGGGTTGGTAAACGCCCAACCCCCCGGATTTTTGACACCCTGTAGATCAGAAAATTTATATGTTTATATGAGCTTTTTTCTTAAAAACACGTGAGCAATCATACCCTGTATTTTTTAAATGATATGTAAGAAACATCTTGTTTATCCATAGTGCTCAAAGCTTCCATCGAACAAATTTTATATCGAAGAGGCAATAAATTCTTGTTTAGTCTTGTGTTGTTTTTGGGATTGGAAATTGTTAAAAATCTACAAAAACATAATTGGTAGGGCATAGAATCTTGTCAAATATGATTTTTATCGACTTCAAGACAAAATTAGTGAAATAAAAGCAAAAAATTTTGGCCATTGCATTGACTAAGAAAATATCTTGTAAAAGTTATATATTCTTGTTTTGGAGCTTGGAACTTGATAAAAAACTACAAATACATAATTTGTACAGTACAGAATTATGTCAAATGAAGTTTTTTATTGATTTCAAAGCAAAATTGATGAAATAAAAGCAAAAAATCTTGGCCATTACGTTGACTAAGAAAATGTCTTATAGAAGTTACAAATGGGGGTTTTACTGTCTTGTTTTATAGTTTATACATGTAATAAGTCTCTATTTAACTAAATATTAAATTATTTCGAAAAATATCGAACAATAAAGTTATATTCATTGAAGATTCTTATGGCTACCGAACCGCCACCATATTTTTGAATTTTATTTTAATTTATATGGGTTTAATAGGTCTGAAACTGCTTAATTAACTACATTTAATGATAATCTATAATTCCTTAACTATTATAAAGCTTCAAAACCTTTTTTAAGGCAAAAATCTAATTTTTTATGATATTAAAATTAGGGACATTGGGGTAATTAAAATGCGATATCTTTGTGAATTTTGCTTTATTCCTTTATTGTTTGGTGTCATTTTATTCGGAAAACACGTAGCTACATTTTCCTGGTAGTAGGTTTCTCTCCAATGTAGCGTTATATTGTCAAATCTTCATTTAAACTTGAAATTTAGGTAAAAAAATTGCATAATTTTCCGTCGGTAAAACAAAAGAAAAGCGCGAGTTGGCGCTCCCTCTAGCGTCAAAAATCAGGAACCGAGCGCTAAAACTCCATATTATTGGTCGTTTCGGTCGATCTACGTCATTTCTGGACGGACCGTTGACGACGAAGCATCTATGTCGGTTGCGTCTCCAGAATTTTTAGAAAAAAGTGCTTTTTCCTTGTATATTGTGCTCGGAAATCATGTGTAGTGCATAACTGGACTCGTAGAGAGGGTAAGTTCGACCATTTTCCTAGAAATTTCCCGATATTTTTCGAAAAATCCGACCATCTAAAGGCAGCCGGTAGACGCGCAAGATCAACAAAAAAAGTCAAAGCCACCTTTTTTATGTTGAACTTTCCGTTTCTTTCTGTTTGCTTTTTTATACTTTCTGTTGCTATAAATAGGTTCTTTTTTACGGTTGTATTGTATTAAAATGAATCATTTTCAGACCTAAATAGTTTGAATATAGTATTTTAGAAATAAAAACTTTAAATAAGTGAAACATTTCTAGTAATAGTGCACTTGATATCGTTTTTATTAAAGTTATTTTATAATAGAAGAATACTTGTGCAATAAATCTTTTTTAAAGTAATCTAAATAGAGTTTATATAGGATGCTGCAAAAACACAGAAAAACTACATCTCCCTGTTTTTATACTAAGTATACCTAACATTTAGAAACTTAATATAAGGTAATAATTAGTAGGTACTTAATATTATAGGTAATTGATAGATTTTCTGTAGCTAGTAAATTTTCTTTGCTAATTCATTAATTTTATTAATTTCTTAGAGACATTTTTGCTTAGGTTTTTATGTTTCTAGATGTTCTTGTCTTGTACAGGGTTCGGCAAAAGTGCGTTGGACATCTGTAGCTCCTAAAATAAAAAAAATTGGGAATTTCGTTTAAGTGCTAACCTAAAGTATGTACGAGGATGTAGGTATTTCAGAAAAATATTTTTATTTCTATAGAGTGGCTCAAAAGAGTGTGAGTGGATCGGGATGTTTTTTTTTAAAATAACACCCTGTATATTATTTTTTTTATTAGATGGAGAATTAAAAAATGAAAATTTTTTGTATTTTAAAGTATTTCACAAATTTTAATTATTTCTTTATTTTTTTTTTGATAAAAATGTATTGTGGAAAATGCCATAAATAAAATAAATATAAAACCGCGAATATCTGCAAAACCGTTAAAAATTTTGAAATATTCTAAATACAAAAAATGTTATTTTTTTTATTCTCCATCTATTGAAAAAATAATATACAGGGTGTTCCGTTAAAAAAAACAAGAAAAATTATTTTATATTTTAGAAAGTTTGGCGTAGAATTTTGGACATCCTGTATGATTTACGATTACCATATTTATAGCAAAGTAAGTACGGACCATCCAAAGTAAATACCTAATATATTTTTGATTTCAGAACAGTTTTTGTATTTTTAATAATTTTTTTTAGGAAAGGCTGTAAAAAATATATTTATTTTTTGTTTATTCATTAATATCTCTGAAACTATCGAAATATATTAACCCATATCTTAGGGTTACGTAAAGTGATCTTAACTGAGCCAAAAATATAATAACATAATATAGGGTGTTCCATTTAAAAAAAATCATCCCGATCCAATCATACTTTTTTGGGCCACCCTATAGAAGTTAAAATATTTTCCTGGAATACATCCTACTACATACTGTAGGTCCGAATTTTTTGTATGAAATTTAGTTTTCTATGTACAGGGTGTGAAAAAAAGGAATGTAATTTTTGTAATTTTTGTGTTGCTGCCATTTTGCCCAAAAACAAAATTTAACTAGAATTATAAGTTCTGGGTATAGCTAAGACTAATATCTCGGGACGTATTTGGAATTTTTACGATAACTCATCGGGAATAAAAGATAATAAATTTTTACTCTAACTTGTATTTTTTCTACCTTTCTTAAGAGATATTCTAACAAAACTGGAATTAACTTTAAAATTGTAGGATATTCGTTACTTTTACAACGTGAAATTAAAAAAAAACTACTAAGTTGCAGCTAAACTACAGATTTTTAGACACAAAAAGTGTTTTTACAAAAATATCAAATAGGTGTCGAGCTTTTGGGCTGTTAAGTTCAGAATATTAAAAAAATAATTTTACTTTTTCGCTGGTCGTATTTTTAAGAGATCCTGTATTAAACTGCGTTAGTTAAATCATTTTTTTTAATTTCACATTGTAAAAGTAACGAATATCCTACAATTTTAAAGTTAATTTCAGTTTTGTTAGCATATCTCTTAAGAAAGGTAGAAAAAATACAAGTTAGAGTAAAAATTGATTATCTTTTATTCCAGATGAGTTATCGTAAAAATTCCAAATACGTCCCGAGATATTAGTCTTAGCTATACCCAGAACTTATAATTCTAGTTAAATTTTGTGTTTTGGCAAAATGGCAGCAACACAAAAATTACATTCCTTTTTTTCACACCCTGTACATAGAAAACTAAATTTCATACAAAATTTAGAAAAATCAGATCAATTTACGAAAACCGATCTTTAATATGCTAAAAAAATCAACAAAATTGGTCCATTTTTTTCAAAGTTACACGTTGAAAATGAGTAAAAAAATCGCTGTGGTACCTATTTAATTTGACGGGCAGTTTTTTTGAAATTCTGTATACATATAGAAAATTATTAACATATGAACTATGTAACTAAAAGATATTTTGTCTTGTTTCAGATTACGCCAGATATTATCCAGAGTTATAGTTATCCAAGGACCACACTGCCAGTGAAGAAGGAGATGACGAATATCAACACAGGAACAGATCTTCAAGTCGCAAAGAAACCAGGCTGACTTTGGATGGAATGGAGCAAGGATCGGTATGGGTCTGGACACGTCATATAGCTCAGGTCGTACCTGAGCTCGGGCGCTGTATCCAGACGTGCTGCACTCCGGGAGTGAATGTGCGCCTTTACACATTTTGCTCGGTACTTCGGTACAATCGCGGGTAGGGCCCAGCTGGACTCGAGAGATGGTAAGTACGACCATTTTCCTACGAATTTCCTGATATTTTTCAACAAATCGGACCCTCTTAGAGCGGCTGGCTTGAAAGCAATTTTATTGGCTCAATGTAACGTCATTTCTTTTCTGATTGGTCGAAATTTTATCAGGTAGTGCACAAAAGTTTTTCATTTTTTATAATTTCTGCTTGCTATAAAAAGATGTAATTTGTTGTGGATTGACAGTTTTCTAAATTTGATGTTTTTATCGCGTATCTATGTATTAAAACAAGTATTTTTTAGATTTAAATAGCTTGATGTATATAGTAATTTAGAAATAAAAGCCTTTTACAGGGTTGTTCACCACATACGACACGGAATATTGTAGCTAAATGATTAGATTTTAACCAATTGTAAGTTTTGGGTTGGTTGAAGGACCATTAGAGCTACAATTTAAAAATATTTTTACAAGATACAGAGTGTCCCAAATAAATAAAAATATCAAAGTTGTATTTTTTTAAATGGAACACCCTGTATATTATTACATTTTTAGTTTCTACGATTAAAATAAAGGTAAATTTGATTAAGGTTTATCACACTTA